TGGCAATACAAATAGCGGGTTATTTGGCAATCTCGAGATGATGAAGACGCGCCTAGTGAGGCGCTCTACCACTGAGTCAATCTCCATACAGGATGCCCCTGATTGGGTTTAGAGATGACCCCGCGTTCTACTCGCTCACTCGCTGGCACCTCTGGAGAGGCCCTGATTTCACCATTGCAGCGCACCGTTACTGCCTGCAAACTGTAAACAACCCCAGCGCGAGATTAGATTACACCACATAGCGTTTTGAAGGGCCCTCTCTCTCTTTCTCTCTCTCTCTTTCTCTCTTTTCCGCAGTCGGTCATTTTCTCTTTCCATATCCCCTACTCCCTCTCATTTCATTACATGTACTCCTGTCCCTCTTTTATTTTCATCCTGATGTTTTTTTTTAAACCCCTTTCCCTTTTTTGGTATGAGGATAAGTAGAAAGAAAAGTGGTAGAAATAAAGCCCCAAATAACAGGAATCAAATATTACACTTACAACACAGAGCACAGTGCACTGCAGTGAATAGTGAATACAACATCTGTGTATGGCTCGCTTTGTAGTGCACTGTGGCTATGAGAAAATCCACACACAATAACCATGCAATAACACGCATGCAACTGAAATGTCCATTTGACTTGTGTACTGCTATACACACTGGCATTGCACACAGTACATTTACAGTATAATCTACAGGGTTTGGTGCATTCATAACGAGCCATTCAGGTCTGGTTTTGGCAAGCTCTTGGGCATAATAAATGCATTTTTCTAATAAATTAAGGATGCATGTCAAACAGGCTTTGCTTTAGAGAGCCTTGGTATATATCGGAATGAGATTACGAAAGTTGTTGTGCTGGTACTAATATAGTACATGTATTATACATTTTGTCCAGTAGTAAAGGCCAGCAATCTACGAGAAATTCTCGGGGAAGGGAAATTAAATTTTCTTTGAAATGATCCAATATGTCCCCTTATAAACATTTATTAATTATATGACATAAATATATTATTGATCCCTTGCAATATTGACACTTTTCTATTTGATTTGTCGTTCAGCCTACCGGTGCTACCCATATATCAATTTTTATGTGAGAAATTAGAAGAGCAAAAAAAATATATGTATATGATTTTTGTTTTTTGTTTTATTTTTAAGTGAAACCATATTCTGAATAGCTATCTTTATGATCATACCTCCCTTTAATAATCAATTCAATACTACTTAAAATGAAACCATAAAGTTAAATTGCAAAACATAATAAAAACAGGGCCCCTTAAATCACTGTAGTTTGTAAATCACTTCTTTTGAACCATGGCAACAAAAACAACATGAAAAGGATATCAAAATGAGGGGAAAACTTTGAAAATGTACAAGGCGTGTCTGGATTAACAGGATTTTCAGAATCCCAGCCTCAGCCCCACGCATTCAGATCCATGGGGGACTGGATTCTCACACTTTCTACCACTCCCCTTTCCAAGAATAAATGCACATAAATTAGCATTTGCAGCAAGGATCAGGTCCTCCGAGACTGAATTTATAATGCACTTGACATTTTGCGACTTTCTCGAGTGACTTTGAGCCCGGAGATTCCAAACATTTCATCTCTCCTATCTCTATCTCTCTCGATTCCAATATTTTCAATTTTTTTTGTGAGTTCATACAAAAGCAGGTGATTTTTCTCCTCTTTTTCTTCCTCAGACTTATTCAAATCAAAATATTGACGGGGAGGGGGGGGGTGGGTACAACTTAGGTGGAGAGGAACATAAAAAACGCCTTAATTTGACACGTTCTTGCCATCAAGAAAACATTCTTTGAGTATCAAACATTTTCTTTGAAAAGATATCAACCAGGCTTTTTGTATAATTTCTTGTCTGTGGCATCCATTTTTCACCGTTTGTCAAAACTCATGTACTTAGCTTAAGATGAGGAGATTTAAGCTCGGATCGTGTTACATTTTTGGCTGGGCATCGTCTTCTGATGTAATACATTGAAATGCCAAGTGATTTCGATGCAAATGTTTTTTTATAAGTTACGCATTCCCCAGGTTATTATCGTTGTCGCTGAAGGATATTTTGTGGAAAATGCACTGGAAATGTATGAACTCAAGATAGGGAAATTATAGTCTGATCGAGTCTGATAACACAAAATTGGTCAACATGTACATGAACATGCAGTCAACTTCTTTCCAATATAAAAATGGCTGCCATCCGGTCTCCTGAAATGACTCCAAATTTGTTATTAAATGAAAATTAAACGGATAATGAAAAATTATTTATGATTAATATTTATTTGTTTATTTTGATCAAAATGCTTTCAAGATTTTTTTTTTTTTAAACAATTTCCTCCCAACATTTTCCCCATATATGATATTCATTTGTTCATATTTTTAATCTCTATGAACATTTTTGGTGTTGTGATATTTTTTTAGGGCTTCAATATTACACCATATCACAGACTCTGATAACACGTAGGGCCGTGCATCTCAGATTTTACATTGCTCATGATAAAACTACAACTACAAAAAAAGAAACCTCTCTCCTAATGAAAGCTGAGACAAACAGATACTTACAAAAACTGACCCCCAGTAAATGAATCCATTGTTTAGAGCAGATGCCAGAGACTTATGTAATAAAAAAAAATAGTAGGCCTGCACGTGCATGGGTAATCAGACACAATAGCTCTTTTGTGAGTAGTTTTTTATTAATTTCTAACACAAAAGAAAAACCTGAAGTATAATGAAACCAGAGTGCTTGCAGGCTGTAATTATTAGTCTTTTCATTTGGACTTGTTTCTCAAATTTACAAAATTATGTCATACTGTCTTTGGGCAGACAAGAAGTGAAAAATAGAATGGGAAAATAATGATACAAGAATATTTAGTTCTTAACAGGTAAAGAAAGAAACTATGGAAAAACTATACAAAATTAGGAAAAGCAGAATGAAATCAATCTTTTTTTTCTAAAAGAAATTTTGAAGGGCTCATAATTCTTCTATTAAACAAAAGAGGAATCTCAAGGTACTATGACAACAAATCTATGCTAAATATTGTCATTAAATGACATCGGATTCACAAATAACTAGAAAACTAGACTAAAGATTGATGGAGATACATCAGATGTGGTGGTCAAACGTAAATTTAGTTTATCTATTAGAAAGCCTCAAAAGTCACAAGCCAAAGAGCTTCTTCTCACGTTGTTGAGTGAAAACAAATTATCTATCCCAATTCCCCCTAAGATTTCAAATAGAGACCAAGATCTAGAATGCAGATTAGATACATCAGTATTAGATCCAAAGTTTAATTGAATACATCAATTCAATTAAACTCATTAACTGATACTGAAGTCAGAGACTACAAACAAATCTGACCCCACCAAATTAGTATGCTTGACCACGCTTTCCACTGACCAAAACACTGAGAGCAATTTCCAGGACCCTGGGCGCTGAATATGACCTTGTACCCATAATGCACTGCCCCCGCAAAATGACCTCTTCCACAAGGAGGTACACTAGAGAAGGTGGTAGGAAAAACAAGAGCTGCTTGTTTTGCATACTGATGTGTTTTTTTCGAGTCCTTCTCCGTATTCTTTTCTCTAATTTGGTTAATTGTAAAAATGGAAGTTTGGCTGGAAGGGGGGGGGGGTAGGACTGATGTTTTTGAGGCTCAGGAATTCACCACACCACAACACAACATCTACGGACCTAGGAATTTTGAGCAAATGATCCTTGAATTTACATTTAGATTGAAGAAGATTCTGAGTAAACCTTTCCTACGAGCACGCCATATTAATAAGTTGTGGAGCAGAACAGCATTATTTTGGATGCTGAGAATGTAGATTGGGCATCTAATTTTCTAATCTGTTGAATATCTGGGGAGTGTTTCACAAAGATCCTCAGTTGAACTTATCTCAAGTTGGACTTAACAATTATGGAAAGCCGTGAGCAGCTTTGAAATATGTTGTAAAAGTTATTTTAAAAGGCATAACATGATTCAAATCATTCATATTTTCTATTATCAAGGAGATTTCATGTTCTTGATGTGGAATTTATAAAAAGTCTAAAATACTTGAATCTTCGTTTTTGAATATATTTCATTTTAGGGCTACAAATGGCTCTCCATAATGTTCAAGTCTAATTTAAGGTTAATTTCGACTTAGGATCTTTGTGAAACACCCCCGGAATAGCTAGATACTACTTGGAAATTTGCAGTGTGTAGGTGGAAAATTAGTGGCAAGAAGCAGGTACCTTTATGTGCAGGTTACCACAAATACTTAGAAATATCATAAAAAGTGGTCTTTATAGACAAGTTGTCTTTCTGTAAAGGTGTTTAATAATGCAGGTTTCACTTTACATAGACTTCATTCAAATATAAACATATTAACTTTACTATGATTGGAAAGGATGACAAAATATATATGACATGAACATGTAATGGACAACTAACAGTAAAACATGAGACAGTGAAGCAACGAACATTCTTTTCACAACAGATACAACGATTTTTCAATAATAATCCATAAGTGCTGTACAGGTCCCGTGAGGTAGAGTATATGTCCAATGTATAATCCAGTATATAACCAGGTACAGGGATGGGTGCGAACACGGGCGACTGGTCGGAATTATCCTGTGGTGGAGGCAAACGGACAAACAAAAAAAACAAAACACACACACAAACAAATAATGTACAAAACAATATGATACAATAATGGAGGTTCTGTCAGTATTGACAAATAAATTTCAGTAACACCGTGAAGTAACATTTAGGAAAAGGCTGTTGATTGAACAAGTTACAGCCTCTACACAGACCATTTTTGTACAAAGTCAGGATTTGAATCAATAGAATCTACATGTACGTACATGAGCCGCTGTTAAAAATGTCAACTTGTGAGGGTATTGAGTTTGAATTTGGACCCACGCGTCCCTGGACCTTTCTGTATTCTGTTACAGACTACTACATGTAGACTTCAAGGTGTTACCGAAACTTTACTTGTTGATTGGGGGAGGGGGAGGGGAGGATCTTACCCATCTCTACGCGTGTCGTAGCGTGAGTGCCTTCCGCCATGTATGACATCATACTCCCCATGACCCCTCTCACTGATGAGCGGTTCGTCTGTATTGTCCGGGTTGTTGTACTCTATCCGCAGGTCGCGTTCTCCGATCTTGATCAGCGCGTCGTGCGCCTTGGTGGCGCTGTTTATATCCACAAAATCCACGTAAGCCGACTGGGTCCCGTCTGCCACACGCTTCCCTGTCAATTTGACGCTCTCCACGCGACCATACCTGCACGAAGATAAGAAGAGATACATCGTAATCAAGTTCAAGTTCAAGTCCAAGTTCAAGTTCAAATTTATTGATCATGCATAAAAGAACATGGCATGAACATCATTTTCCGCCAGTTTCTTCAATTTATATAACACCAATTAACATACATGTACTATCAATTTATACACAATCAGTAATAAAGACAACATACAATTGAACATGAGTACAAAATGGTAGAGGCTTCGGTATAGAAACATAATAACACAAATTACATCTGTAGACATTTTTATAATTATAAATGTATTCATTATAAATGCATTATAAACTCTTACATTTAAATGCTCAAGAAATATAATCAAATTCCATATGAAATGACAAATAAATATTGCTGGCTGTAGCGAGCAAATGTTTCCACCTTATACTAAATTAAAGCAAAAGATATGTATCATCTCTTTTATTTGCCCAAATACTTCTCTTTTCCATACATCATTGTTCCATCAGAGATTACCAGTTATAATACTAGTTGTATAAATTCATATAGAGCGCACGATTCTATCACTCATTTTATGTCGATTAAATATTTCGATTTTCTTTTTTCTATTCAAAGAGAAGTTCCAACACAGAAGAATTCTAGATATTCCACAGGGGTCAGAAATCTGTTGCATCTTGAATACACACCCTCCCCTTTTAGAGACGTGGCACCTGGGAGCGGAACCGCCTTGAGAAAACACAAACTGGAACAACCTTTTTTCACTCATGCGCGCTTAAATAGCACAATAGCAAAAGAACACAATAAAAAGAACAAAATTAACAAAAATAACACCCAAGGACACCTAGCATAAAAGTGGTAGATCTATCCAGGCTCCTCTATTTTTTAACGAAAAAAAACTAACAAAAAAAAAAAAATCCTTGAATTTTATTACACCACACGGCCTCCGTCTCTTGTCTCTTTTGTGTTCCTTCAACAATAGAAATTGATTTTTTTTTTCCTTCGTAGACAAAAAAGTAAACAGAAATGGAAAATGATTACTCATCCTGTAGCATATAACAGGAATGCTAAGAGAAAAAGAGGGAGAGAAAAAGAGGGAGAGAAAAAGAGGGAAAGAGAAAAAGAGGGAAAGAAAAAGAGAGAAAGGGACAGGGACACAGAAAGAGAGAGAGAGAGAGAGAGAGAAAGAGGTGTTCACAAAACCAGAGAAACAGCTAGACAGCAAACATGTAAAGAAAAAAAGAACAAGGTACATGTCAAAGAATACTGAAAAGGTTAAATGGACAGACGTGATTTGAAAGGAAGAAAAAGTGAGATCGTAACAAGCGTGAATATTAGAAAGACATGAAGTGTCAAAACATGCCTTGTTATTCTTGGAACAATCAGTCTATGTGAAGGCCTTTTGGTAGACTGTTATGTTGAACTGCCACATTAGCGCCATAAGACCATGTCATATTGCGTTTATATTTTATAGCAATCATTTTTTTTTTTTAATCATCATGTGCCTTGCTGCCCTGGCAGAAAGGCAATGAACACAAATGTTGTTCATATTTCAAATTGTTTATTTTTGAATGATAGAGACATATTATAAAAAAGTAATTAACATTATGCTATAAATTTTGATAACTCAGGAAAAGAAGACCACAATGTTACTAGAACAAAGTGCAATTTATTTTTATTTTAATGTAGGCCAAAGTACTCTGTCTTTGTATCTGTTTGTATCCTTCAAAGTTGGTAAAAAGCAAAATTCTAAAATCCCATCTTTTGATTGTTATATAAACTGCAGGTATTGCCCCATGTACTTCCACGTGATCTGAGCATTCTATTTCTGTAGTTGACTTTTTTATAATTTTGCAATGGGAGCATGCAATACATACATATTCATGTGCATGTAATCATTTTTACTGTCTACATTAAGCATGTCGTTCAACGTCATAGGCCTACATCAGAACTTGTTAGCTGTTGTTTGTACATATACCGTACTGTACCAGTTTCTCTATCCCATCCCCCCCCCCTCTCTCTCTCTCTCTCTCTCTCTCTCTTTCTCACTTGTCTTTCTTGCATTACGTGTGGGTGTATGTACATGTATGTGCTTGTGTCGGAAAAGGTCAGGTGATGCTAATCAAAACACTTGGCATGCAAGCTGGCCTCCAGTGCTGTGTATTTACTAAGGGACCGTCTTGAAATCCACCCCGGGACTTCCAAATCTCACATACAGGCTGTGTCATGGGACCATCTCGAAAAAGCCAGTCTCCCAAACTACATGCTCCATCCCCGACAAGGCCGATGGAATCGTTTCTTGGTCCCGTATGCTACTTGCAGTTGTACCGCAAAGGTTATTTGCAAGGCTCCACCTTAATTAGTTGAAACCGGATAATGGCATCTCGTGTGAAACTTCACCAGTGTCAAGAAAACAAGATGGCTGGCTGGCTAACAAGTTAATCGTAGGCCAGGGTAAATACAACACGGGCCACAAAAAGCTGTCAATGCGTGTACATGTATAAATATATATATATATACATAGGATTTAAGACTGCATGTACTACACTGTAGAGCCTAAATGCAGATACTATTAGGTCTAGCAAGAGGTTGGAGTGAGTGCCTATGTTGTGCCAGTGCAAGTCTACAGACTACATGCTGTAGTTTGACATACAAATTCAGAAAGCACAAGGTCACCTTCAAGATACTTTATTCTCAAAAGCTTGTCATTTTCTGAGATTTGTGAACATCCAAAAGACCATGGCAATCAGCCAATACAGAAACAAAAGCATCGGATCATGAGGTACACTTACATTTGTAATGCATTTTTCTGTTTTTTCTGGGGTGAGGAGGGGGGGGAATCGGGAGGTCTTTCATTTCATATTAAGTCACCTATGTTTGGTGAGATTGCTAAACAGATTCAAGATTAGATAAATGAATTAAACAGCGAAATTCATCTCGTCAAAAATTTCTGCTTCTCCCGCTCTCCCTCTTTTTCCCTCTCTCTCTCTCTCTCTCTCGCTCGCCCTTTCCCCCACATTTTATTTCTCTCGCTCTCATCTAATCTATGCATCTATCCGCATCTCACCTCTTAATGCCCAATCTATTCCATCTATCCTCGTTAATAATGCACGCTCTGCAATTACCCCGTACTGTGGAATAAATTGACTGTGCATTATTGAGCCGCAATTGAAAACCCGGGCACTGGAACACCGTAAAAAGAAACTAGCGGAGGTGTTTTAAGTGGAGAGCACTGTGAAACAATGCGCCGCTGAATCAAATGCAGCCGCATCGGAGCGCAATTTGGCAGCCAGAAATACCTGATGAGATTCCGTATGGTTAAGTACCTTCCACCAACCAAACACAAGGTAAAGTAAAGCCCCTGGATAATTTGTACTTCCAAGGCTGGATATTTACTTGTAAAAGCCACAAAATATCCAAGGCCTATCCTTATTGCCTTGTTAAACAATCGAACCCCAGTAATGACCTGACCGATACGTTTGCCAGCAAAGGGCTAAAGGACTATGGTCATACAAAGTGATAATTGCCTGTGCTTACGGGTCAAAACAAAATTGTTTAATGAATCTATACATTGCACAGGTTTTCAGCAAAATTGCACTGATCAAATTTGGACGTGGCCGAGTATCCGAATATGCTCTTTTTTCCGTAATTAGCTCCCTCTATACTAATTTGAGAAAATAGATAAAACAATAACAAGGATAGGGACAAATGAGCGAAAGAAAGGACTCTAAAGGCAGTTATAAGAGCGGTGGTACGGACAGGTAGAACAAGCATAACAAGCACCGATTAAGGCAGTCTCATTTTAAAAATCAAAGTCCTTTGGCATATTTTCAAGCTTGATTTTCTCTGTCTCATTAAAAGGGATTTATAGTCTTGAGTCATCCAACATAAATTCCAGAGATTCATTGGAAGAGTGGGTTTGATCACATTTAAAGATATTCAAATTTCTCTCCCTCCCACCCCCCCCCCCCCCACTCTCCTCCCAATTCCTCCTACTCATGAAGTAAAAAAACATAAATTGATGTGAATTTTATCTTTTAAAAGCGTAATTAACAATCTCATGTAACATAACGATTTGTACCATGTGAAAGTATCAAACTGATTGGAGTCTGACTCTGAAGAGATAGATGGTCCATTCATTAGTGTAGACAATAATAACACCTGTAATATTACAAAAACTCTACAGTGATTCGTTCCTTTTACGCGCAGTGCTATGCCTCTTGCCTGGACACTGTATGGATAGCTGCCAACGTAAGAGGCCAAATAGAAATGCAGCCAGACATATGCACAAATCCTATTCATGTTACAAGCTCAATGCACTCCAAAGCCAGTCTTGTTTTTCACTTTAAAATATTGGGGCATGCACAATCTCTGCCAAACAGACATTGGTTAATCCTCAGTCTGGAAAGGAAAAAACAAACAAGATCCTGATTTAGGTCTATTTTATTGATCCTAATCCCCTAAGATTTGCTAATCTGTTATTTAGTTCCCTCATGTGAATTGTCATCCTGTCTTGCAGTATGATGTTCCGTTTATCTCGTTTTCAACATCCTCTTTCCCTGTCCCGCCCTAAACTTTCTAAAATATGACAAAACATCATGACTACCTTAAGGGTGGGTGGGTATTTTGTATCTTATATAAGAGTTTTGTTTTTGTTTTTGTTGTTGTTGTTGTTGTTGTGGTATGGATCATCAAGATGATGTTGTTGGTGTTTTTTTTTTGGTTTTTTACGGGCCAATAGATTTGGGCTCTAATTACTACAAGTTTAAATTTGACTGAATAAAAAAAAGTAACTGTGAGTATTATTCGGTCAGAATACAGTGTATACGTACATGTAATAAAGGCGCTGTGTTAAAGACAATTGGACTATGAGTAGAATATGACTATTTGAAATATTTCTCAATATTTGCATCATTAATTAAAGTAAATAATTTACAGACATAGTCAAGAGCATTAGAGTGAGATTTACAGTAAATCTATTGATGTAATCACATTGCATCCTAAAAAGCTTAAAGGGATTGAAAGAGGG